AGAAAATATAGCCACATTAACATCACCAAACTAAATATTAATATTGACATTTAAAATTACCAGAAAACGACTACATCCTTAAATTTTGCTCAGAAGATTTAAGTGGAAAAAGTTGACAGGTCTGAATAATTTTACAATATTGCCTATGATTTTATATGAACCAATTTGAAAAACTCAATTATTTAAATTATAACATGCATTCGTTGTAAATCCATGTTTATAATTGCATAGCTTCAAGTTTCAACATACATAATGTAAATTTAAAGTTTTCATAAAGACAAATATAGTAAATTTAAGCAATTATTACCAATTTAGCTTTAAAATACACTCTGAAGGGAAAACACACAAACTTTTTCCTTTGCTCTCACATCACAGCAATCAACACAGAAGATTTTGATGTCCAAATGTGTGGGGTCTTCCTACACACTAAGTGAACAATCAGTTCTGTAGCGAACACCAGCTGGGTGTTCTCCAATTCAATTCTGACACAATCTACCTGGAGATAGCATTATATCCCACAAGCTGAGGACTAGGTCTCACAAGACTGTTCCCAGGCCCCTCAGACACCAGTTGCAAATCCAGGCCTCCAGAACTTCTGACAGTTGGGCTTCAAATTTGAGTTCACATGACCTTCCTCTTTGGGTTTAATTTGCCAGAAAGGTTCACAGACGTCAGGAAAATACTTAATGTTTACCGGTTTATTATAAAGGACATATCAAAGGACACAAATGAAGAGATGCATAGGGTGAGGTGCTGGGGAAGGGGCTCAGAGCTTCCATGCCCTCCCTGGGGTACCACCCTCCAGAAACCTCCACATGTTCAGCTATCTGGAAGCTCTCCAAACCTGGTTCTTTGGGGTTTTTATGGAAGCTTCATTACATAGATGTGATTGATTAAATCATTGGCCACTAGTGATCAACTTAACTTTCCACACCTCTCTTCTCCCTGGAGATCAGGAATGAGGCTGTTAAGTCCCAACCCCCTAATGGTGCCTTGGTCTTTCTGGTGACCAGTTCCCATCCTGAAGCAACCATGGGCTGCCAGCCATCAGTCAATCATTAGCATACAAAAAGAATATCACTTGGGAAACTCTAAGGATTTTAGGAGTTGTATGCCAGGAAACAGGATAGAAGACCAAGTATATATTTCACAGTATCACATATACCATGTGAGTTTTCATTTTAAAATACTCTGTAATAACTGTGCCATTGTCATGGAGATAAAACACAGTCTTTTAAAAAAGAATTTGGATCTACAAACATTGAATCTAGTAATACTGAAAATTGATGTATGCGACTCTCAGATAGTTCAGGGAAAAAATATCCTGTTTGTGTATAGACAGAGGGCACAAGTAATAAAGCAAATGGGGAGAAACGTTAATTATGGGTGAATTTGGGTAAAGGGTACATGGGTGTTCTTTAAGCTTTATTTATGCTTGCAACATTTTTATATGTTTGAAATTATTTCTAAATAAGATGTTAAAATGAAGAATGGAAAATGGATGGACACAGTGACATAAGTAGAAATCAACCGTGTACTTGGAAGATAAATGTATCTTTTTCCCTCCATTATGTAGACTCTGTGTTCATACTTCCTTGAACCCACAAGTTGAGTACTGTCCCAACACATCCAGATCTACAGATGTGGAAATTCGTCTTCATCTCTCTTGGACTAGCTATTTTCTGCCAACCTTGGCGGCAAATGCTCTCTGACATCATACCTCCAACAACTGTGTCTTTAATTTCTGTGGCGTTCAGTGAGAAGTTCTCACTGCTAAATCTACAACCAGATAAGACAAATAAAGGACAAATTTGGTTCAGTAAGGAGATGCAAGTACAGGGCATTATCAAGATATCTGTAAGGGAAATCTATAACACATGTCATCTTGGAAATCTTCAAAATCCCAGAGTTGAAACAAATGGGACAGTTATACAGTGTGATTCTGTTTAGGAAATTTCAGTTTCCGAACTGGTGCTGATAGCAAACATGACATCAGTAACACAAACTCATCAAATATTCCAGTTGAAAGTAATTTTTTATTGTTATTATTATCAGCAGCAGCAGCATCATTCTCATTAGCACAAAACTAAATCCACTATTAAAAGAAAACAAAAACACAGCCCAAAGGCACGTGTCTTGCTGACAGTGAGTCAATAACATTATCTTCATGTACAAGGGACAGCACCCTGAGGATATACCATATCACAGCTTGATAATCAATTCAATAATTCAACCAACATTATTGAGCACCCAGGCACAATGGAAGATTTAAAAATGCTTACAAGAATCCCTGCTTTCAACAAGTTTTGCAGTCTAGAAGGAGGTATTGAAGAATACAAGAACACAGGGTCACATGAGATTAGTGACATAATGGAATCAGTACCATGTATGAAGTGCTGTTAGAAAGGGGCATCACAGAGACTAATGTCACATTCATTTGGGGGAAATCAAGAGGCTCCATAGAGAAGGTGACCTCTGAGCTGAGCTTTGAGGAACTGGAAGGATTTTGGTAGACTGGCATGTGAAGAAGGAGCACTGCAGGTGGAAAGAATAGTGTGGGCCAAAGTATGGCCATAGGAAAGTTCATGGAATGTTTGGGAGGAGAAGAATAGTTCACCTTGGCTAGTGTTTGGGGTTTATGTAAGTGGAGTGACAATATGTTGAAAGTTATATGAGGACCATATATTGAATGGCTCTGAATGACAGGCTAAGATTTCTGATCTTTATGTCATAGCAACTACATTTACCACATCAACAAAATATGGAATTATTTGTGAAGAGATATGGTCACTTCACTTCCAGGTTTCTTAGAGAAATTCAAATAGTTTCTAGGCAACGTTATCCCCTTGCTCTCAGAAATATCCTGGCAGGTAACACCAACCAGACAATAATAAATGTTTCTATTTTGCATGTAATTAAATCTCTTCTTTCAAAGTTTTTATTCTTTCCATGCATGGGCCACACCTCTTCTCACTCCCGTCTCCAGCCCCACTAGTTCTTGTGGGACATGATGAGTTTAAGCAAGTCTAATTTAGGATTTCCAGCCACAGCTACTACCCTGAAAGTAGGATCCACAGCCTTGAGAAGTGAGGGGTGGTGATAGAGGAAGTGAACAATATCATAAAAATGTAGCCATCTGAGAAGTTTTATGAAATTCCCATCCTAAGAGTCAAGCATAGTTCTTTGAAGTTGGAGTTCCACTCATTTTGGTCTGGAGGACACCTAGAGGGGTTGCAGAGCTCACAGTGCTAAGTAAGCTCATCTTTTTAAGTTTCCTCTTATTGTCAAGGAATTCCTTAAAGGAATGACGCTTAATCTGAGTTACATGGTTATTTAAAGGCCTCCTGGCTCTGAGGCTACTGAAGCTGTGGAGAGACTGGGGTGAACGTTTCTTTTTGACTAAGGAACCCTGTTGGGCTTTGTCTGTGCTCAACAGGTTGGTAGTCGGGAACTTCTCCCATGCATTGAGTTTACAGATGCTAAAGAATGGCTGTATTAGGCAACTGAGCCAAAGAAGTAAGCAGTAAAGAACCCACCAGGGAAGATTTAGAATACCAAAGCTTCCATGGCCACACTTTCTGCAGCTAGTCAGTCTTCAGCTCTTTCCTGGAGCGAGACTTCCTCTGCAGGAAGTCATGGATTGCTGTAGTGAGGCCCCATGTCACACTTGACCTTATGATGACCAGGGAGCCTCCACGGTAGATCAGGAGCAACTTTCGGCCCCGAGTGTTCCACACATCCTGGGCAGAGGCCCACAGGCTTGGCATGTTCTGCCATCCAATATGGGACTGCATATTAGCAACCAGCACAATCAGAGGATACAAAACTAGGCAGGTGATTGTTCCATTGACACTACCAGACACCAGGGCAGGAACCCAATAGGGAAGGCCTTGTTCTGCCAGGCCATCCTGGATTGGGTCCTTGAAAGAAAAATATAGAGCACTCCCCAGGCTGTTCCTGGCCAGGACAGGCCAGAAACCACGATAGTAGCCCAGTGACAGGCGCCCCCAAAGACCGTAAGAGTTGAATTCCTTGAGAATGCTGAAGGTGCTGGGGAAGCGAGCTCGCTTGCGACCATCCTGGAGCACATTTTGCACCCTTTCAAAGGGACTGAGTGCCACAGCCTCCACCACACCAGACATGAGCCCTGCAGCCCAGCGATGTCCCAGAGTATGTGGCCCAACAGGAGAGAGAGAGCACAGCAAGCTATCATAAGTCCCAAACAGAAGAGTCCCTTGCAACGTCTTGGAGAGAAGAGGAGGGTAGATTCCCCGGTAGAAGTATTGAGGACCTTCGTGCCAAAGCTGTCTCACAGCCTCTGACACTGCCATGGCATGGATCTGTTGCCGGAACACAACCTTATAGATAGGAAAGGTCAGAAAAGTAGACATAAAGTTGGAAACAGCCCCAAGGGCGTAGGCCTGGGAGTGCCAGCTTTTCTTTCCGGGAATCTCTGCTCTCCTCCTGTGCGGAAGCTCATTCCCAGGAGAGTGGTTCTGCTCCCCCATGCTGAAGACAACTGGGAGCAGATGGAAGAAACTGGCAAGGGTGGAAAAAAAAGAGATTAGACTGACCATTTAAATCTGTTGGCAAGAATCTTCATTGCTTAGTTAGAAAAAAATCCTAAAAAACTCAGGTCAAAGGAAACAAGCAACTCTTTGAGCCAGTTTCTGATAAATAAGCACACCCTTAAGAAATTAAGAATTCATTAACCTTACATTAAAAGAGAGGCAATCAGTTTCTTTTTTTTTTTTTCTTTTTGGACAGAGCCACCACTACAGTACTTTGCTGACACAGCAAAATATACCAATATTCAAAGAAGGATTACAACTGAAGAACATGAAACAGAGGAGGGGAAGACTCCAAAACTTAATGCATCAACTTTCACAACACGAAACTATGCATTTTACAAACTACGAGAATAATAAGTTACTATTCTGTTTGCAAAAAAAACACAAACAAAAACAAAAAAAAAACTGGCACTATCTTGTAGAGGCAGAAAGACATTTAACAGTTGAAGTGCAATGCTTTCTCTAAAAGTTGGTATTAAATTTGGGGAGGGAGAATCTTCCCCCTGCCTTTCTCTCCATAGATTCCTGCCCAAGTTGTAGCTGTTTCATGGCAACGCCCAGCCCCCGTCTGGCAAGTGAGGAAAGGAAAGAGCAGCTGCTCCTGAAAGTTCAGTGCCTAAAGGCTCAGCACCTGGCAATTTCCAAGCCTAACCTTGCAGATCTGTAGCTATATAATAGAGCGGGGTTTCTTAACCTCAGTGCTATTGACATTTTGGGCAGGATAATTTTTATCCTTGGCGTCTGTCCTGTGCATTGGAGGATGGTCAGAGGCTCCCTGGCTTCAGCTAAGTGTGTGCCAGTAGCACCAGTGGTGACTAACCCACTGTGATGACCAAAAATATCTCCAGACCTTGCCAAAAGTCTCCTGGGAGGCAAAACTGCTCCCGGCTCAGAACCACTGTACTAGATACAATTTGCAGTGCGAGGACTCCGAACTATTGCTCCTTACCCCAGAAAGACCAGGAAGCAGATGGCTAGCATGAGAAGCAACTTGGAAGCCAGGACATATGAAGAAACTTTGGGATTAAAAAAAAAAAAAAAATGAATGCTCATGCAGATCTGAGGGAATTTGCTGGGGAGGAAAGAGGGGGTCCCTGGGCTGACGAGACAGGGTGTGCAGCAGCCAGAGGTGTTACCTCAGGGAAAGGAGCACAGAGCTGTGTGGGTGTGGGGCAGAAGGACAGGGAAGAGGGGAAGGGGCATGATAGCCAGACTGGAGGGCTCCCATCTACAGTGACAGGGACAGGAAGCCTGGCAGGAACTGCAGACCCACAGGTTTCACACAGAACCCTGGGCTATGTGGTAGGGGGCATGAAGATTGGGACTCTAATTAAGCTAGCAGGGTGATGGGGAACCAGAGAGTACAGGCTGAAGTCCCCAGGGAGGAGTAGACACCACATACTGCAAGAAGCCCAGTGCAGCCTTTCCGGGGCTGCCAGGCCCAGAATCTGCCTTGGCGTGCTGTCCCTCCAGAATCACTCCCATCAGCTCTGCTCCTCCTCTCTAGCCCCTTCCCCCTGCTCCATCCACACCTCGACAATCCCATTCCTATCCCCGCTCCTCCATCCATCTCCCCACAAACCCATTCCTATCCCTCCTGCTCTGTCTGTATCCTCAGTTTCATTCCTGTCCCCCTGCCGCATCCACATCCCCACAATCCCATTCCTATCCCCCCTGCTCCATCATCTCCCCACAACCCCACCCCATCCCCCCTGCTCCATCTCCCCACAATGGCATCCCTGTGCCCCCTGCTCCATCTCCCCACAATCCCATCCCTATCCCCCCCACCCCCGCTCCATCCATCTCCCTACAATCACATTCCTATGCCCCTTCCTTCATCCAACTCCCCACAATCTGATTACTTTTCCCCTTGCTCCATCCACATCCCCATAACCTCATTCCTATCCCCTGCTCCATCCACATCCCCACAATCCCATTCCTATCCCCCTCCTCCATCCAACTCCCTACAATCCCATTACTATCCCCTGCTCCGCTCCATCCACATCCCCACAATCTCATTCTATACCCCCTGCTCCATTCATATGCTCACAGTCGCATTTATACCTCACTCCACTCCATCCATATCCCCACAGTCTCATTCCTATCCCACCCTATTCCACCCATATCCCCAGTCTCATTCCTATCCCACCCTATTCCATCCATATCCCCACAGTCTCATTCCTATCCCACCCTGTTCCATCCATATCCCCACAATCTCATTCCTATTCCGCCTTGCTCTGTACATTTTCCCACAATCTCACTTTGCCGCCACTCCCCTCCCCTCGAGCCAACTCACCTCTTGGTGGAGGGAGATGGAGGCTCAACTTCCTGTGCTCTGCCCATCACCACCTTCCCCTTCCCCCACATTCCATGATGGCCTTAAGCCTCAGCCTTCTTCATGCTCATGGCCAGTACACTGGGAGGGCCCCTCTGCCTTTGACTCTTTAGCTGAGAACTAAGCAGGAATCAAAGCTCAAGAGGCCAACTATTTGCATCCCTCTGGGGCACCTCTGTCCCCTGGCAGCCCCACTTCATTTCTCCAGAGCCAAAGGGGACTCCTCCCAGATACCCAGGCTGCTAAATCCACAGGAGCCCCAACAGTCTTCAGCTCTCCTACCAAAGGTCTTCTTCCCCAAGTCTTAACCTGCACCTAAATAAGTACAGGTGGTGAGGTAAATGTTTGTCCCCTCTTCTACCTCACAGTGCAGTAATGTTCCACTTCCTCCCTACCATTTATAAACATGTATTCACTGATGCCATGAGGTAGGATGATGTAGCAGAAAGAAAACTGGGCTATGATTTGGCAGTGCAAGGACTCCCGACTATTGCACCTACCCCAGCAAGGCCAGGAATCGGGTGGGGTAGTATGGGATACCAGTATTCTAAGTGAGTTTTGTTATTAACTTGATGTGTGACCATTAGAAATTCAATGATATCTGGAGACTTACCCACCTGAGCTGTAAATGGAGCAGAAAGGGCAAAATAATCTGTAGTCATCTCCAAAAGGTATCTGTCAGAGGGTGTTGATATGGGGGCATTCAGGTCAATAATTGATAGAGGAATTGTACTTTTCAATTCCCAACTCCTTCTGCCATTTTTAAAAATCATCTTGGGGGATTAAAGGTGAACAATAATTAAGAAACATCTCACCTTAAATATGTAATCCATCTTATAAATACAATCCTTTCCATTTTATGGGGAGAGGGGGAGTTCGTGTTTCTCCTATGTATTTTCTGTTAAGATGCCAGGCTTTGGGAGCAGACAGACCTGAGACTGAATTTTGCCTCTGCCACTTATTTAGTTGTGTGAACCTTGGGCAAGACATTTCATTCAGTCTCAGTTTATTCAGTTACAAAACAGGGACATTAAGACCGACCTCAAAACGTTGTGGCAGAGATTAATAACATAAAATGAGATAAAGTGGTTGAGAATCCATAACATGGAGGCCTCGATAAAAAGTATCAAAAAAAAAAAAAAATGCTTCAGGACCTCACTATCTGTCTCCACAGGGCATATACTCCTTCAGGACACTCTCAGAACAGCCAGAAGCAGATAAAGTGACATGTGGGAATGAATCTTGTGTTTCTGGGGGAGGCAGGGAAGCCCTTTCTTCCATGAATGGGAAGGCACAACATAAACAAACTAGGAGAGCCTGGCCCCTTCACATGAATTCTAAAGTACAGACCACAGAATGGACCTAGAATTGGCCTTGAGCAGATATCACCTGTACCCTATGACGTGCCTCCTATGTTTACAGCCTAGTAAAATGAGCCCAGGGGATTCCAGACTCTCCCAGCCAGTCTAGTCCACATGGGTAGCCTGTGTGACTGCTCCAGGATCCAGCCACAAATGAATGCATCTGTCTGTTCGATTGGGGCATCTCTCAGCCAGTCCTTTGGTCAACTCACAAACATGTATTGATCATCCACTAAATCATTGTGGGTAAACCACCATGGAGCTAGAGTGAATAGAACTTGGTGCCTGCCCTCAAGAGCTTGGGAATCTAGTAAGGGAGACAGGTCAGTAATGAGCTAAACTCTACAGAAAGACAATAAAGGGTACGCTAATGAAGTTAGAAGCAAAAAGACAAGAGCAATTTATTCCACCTGAGAAGAGGCATATGACTCAATCCTTAATCGAGTAGCATAGAATAGCCTCTTGTTAGGTAGAGGAGTGAGGGCAAGGATTCTAGGCTGAGGAAGTGGCCTAAGGCACATGGGCTTAAAAGTGTGAGTTGTGCTTGGGGCTGGCCTACCCCATGTGCTGAGAAAGAGATAGAGCTGTGGCTGACAGAGAGGAGCCCATTTAGAATGAATACCACATTTGTCTTCCCCACTGCATTGTGTTGTAGGGCACACACATGGGCTCTGGATTCAGCCAGCCCTAGGTTTGAATTTCACTCTGTCACTTCCTAGCTTTATGACCTTGACCAAGTTTCTTCACCTCTCTGATCTTCAATATCCTTATATGTAAAATGATTGTCATGAAGGACGCATGAGGCAAAGTGTGGAAAGTGCTTAGCACAGCACCTGGCATTTAAGTTGCTCTATAAGTTATATTATTAATTTCATTTTTTTAAAAATGAGATAATAGGAATAAAGGCAAGATAACAACTAAATTGTTGTAAAGGCTGCAACTGGTCTAATGAGCTGGGTCATCTGCAGAATGCATTTTAGACTGCTTGTTTGGAAGACAGCAAAGAAGAGTTTTCATGGGCTTTGGAGTTTGACATCCCTGGCCTGAAGTCCCAGTGCCTCCACTTACAAGTTGTAAAACTTTACACAAGCTACTTAATGTCACTGAAATTCAGTTTCCCTCTCAGCAAAATGGGATACACTGTCTGTCTCAACAGGGTTGCTGAGAAGCTTAAATGAGGTAACAGATAGAAAGTTCCTGGCACAAAGGAGGCAGGCAGCCAAGGGCAGCTATTATTGTTTCATCTGAAAGCTTTATCTTCAAACCTTCAAGCTTTTAAGGTTTATTTATTGAAATTAGAAAATGTGGTCTCACTAAAGCCATCAACTGGATCACACTCATACACATGAGGCCAGAGATGGGATGTCCTGTATCCATCTGGAGCCATGCTGCAAATACTCCCCGCATCCCTGCACAGAGTCCCTCGCTTTGTTCCAGTAGCCCAGCCCTGACACCTTTACACAATCCATTTCCTGTCATTACTTTTGTCAGAGCTCTGAGATCTATTCTTGGTCTTATGTGATTCTACCCCTACCAAGTCCAGCAGCAAATACCTAATTTGGTGATGAAGCCAATTTAAACACTGAACAGGAGTCTTCTGGGAGGCGAGAGTCAGATGTTACCGGCCAGGGGAGCAGAAGCAAAAGTCTGAAAGAAACCTAAGAGCTACTGCCAGCATCACCCCTGAGTGTGCCAGGTGAGCAACCTGCCTTCTCCATACATCCACACTTTCCACCCTCCACCACTACTACCCCACTGTTCCATTCACAGGCCATGATCCTGAGACGGAAGGTGATTCATCTCCAAATTTGCATTGTTTACTCCAAGGAACTCTCGATCTTGGTGATGTAAATAAGAGGGCGGAAAAGAGAAAGTGAAGTACCTTGGCAGGCTGAAGAAGAAGCTAACAGCAGCCAAAGGGTATCAGACTGTTTAGTTGTTTCTAAGCATCAGAAGTCAAGAACAAGCCCCACAAGAGCCTCCTAGACACACTGTACATAAAGGAAGTAATACCTGCTCTCTAAGCCAGAGAAAAGTGGAGCAGTTTTCCAGCCACTGCCTTCATGGTCATTCACTTTGGACAGCCCTGCATGCCGTTTCCATGGAGTTGCTCCTTCTCTGGGGCCAGTGATGCCAAATCCAGCAAAGGAGAAGTCCCCTGAAGAGCTCACAGAAGGGCAACCTAGCAACCTGTCCTTGAGCCGGGAAATGAAAGAGCTATATCAGTGACAGACAGCTGTGGTTTGGGGGTTAGGTTAAATGGGGTTTTATTTCTCATACTTCTTCTTCAAGCATGACTTGAAGAAGGAAGGCCTTATGACAAACCCATTTGAAAATCTGCAGAACTGTGGACTCAGAAAAATGTACGGAGGCCAGATTCTTTGCATACAATTCTAGGAAGGACCTCGGGTAGGAGCCTGCGCTCTGGAGTTACATGTCATGACAGACATGCCATGGACAAATACACCAACAGCAGGCCCATTTACTTATAACCTTCAACATCACAGGTGGTGTTTAGAACAGTGGTTCACGAATCTCCCTACACCTGAGAATCAACTACAGAACTAGTTAAAACTACAAATCACACTCTTCACCCCTAGTCCTAGTATATTAAAATCCCCCAGGGGGAAGGCCCGGGAATCTGCATTTATTACAAGCTCTCCAAAATGACTCTGAGGCAGCCCACCTTGTACTCATATTTTGATTAATAGCATGGGTTCTGGATTCAGAGACTAGATCCAAATTTTGGCTTCACCTTGTAACTTCAGACAAATCATTGTACCTCTCTGAGCCTTGCCTCCTTTGGGTTTGCAAAGGGCTGTAGAAATCATGTTGCTTTTATAAAACAGGCAGCTTGTTGTGTTTAAAACAAAAAAAAAAAAGTATTAACAAAAAACGAAAGAAAGAAAAGTGCCAAGAAGAGCTTCCACTTCTGTACAATGGGCACCATAAAGGCTGCCTCCATTTGCCCTCAGCCCTCTCCCCACTACCTCCTCACCTTCTCCCTCACCACTGTCATCACACTGAGACTGCTATTGAGATGGTTTGAGATTACCTGTGCAAAAATGCTCTCCAGGCAGCGCTGCAGGGCAAAGAATTAGCATCTAGAGAGCAACAGAGGAGTGCTAAGTTGGATGCTTAACTCAGGGCAAGATACAGGGCAAGACTCGTAACCTCTCTCCCTTTGGCTCAGTTTCTTCATCTGTGAAAAGGAAATAACAGTCCTTGCTCACTAATTCTGTGCAATCCCAAGTTGGTCCTCCCATCCTGGCTTTGGTTTTTCCCCACTAACCCTTAATCTGACAGAATAGAGGAGTGTTGGCAAGGGGCAGTCTTTGAAGTCAGACATGTTGACTTGGGTGTGAGCTCTTAGCTCTGCACTTCCTAACTGTGCTGTCTGGGTGCTTCAGTCCTTTCCTGTTAAATGGGCACATTGCTACCTCCTTCACAAGGCTGCTGAGAAGAAGATGTCCTTGCAGGCGCATCTGCACACAGAAAGCACACAGGAAACGCTCTTTCCCCACTTCCCCCTATACAAAGGTGAGGAACTCTCATTGTTCACTTGGTTTCTGTCCCACCTCGTGTTTAAGGCATCCGGTCTCAAAGCCCGGATGAGCGCCAAGGTGGAAGGGGATGGGGAGAAGGGAAGCGACGGGGTAGTAGCAAACTCACGGTGAAAGGGAAATGGGCCCGGTCCGTGCGTCCGACCTGCACTTGCCGCTGCGCCGGCTCCCGCGCCTGTCTGCAGCAGCCCCCGCCCGCCGGCTCCCAGCTCGCTACTCTAGCCAGCAGTAGCTTCGGGCCGGAGGCTGCGCGAGGAGACCTTCCCTTCGCCCCACTGATTGGCCGCGCCGCCCGGCTCGTCACGCTCTCACGCTCTTTTGTTTCAATGGGCAGAGACTGAAAGTAACCGCGGCTGCCCGGAGGGCCGAACTGGAGGCTGGGCGCAGCCGTGGCTGCCTTGGGAACCGCGCTGCCTCGACTCGGCTACCCCTCGCTGGGCGGCCCTGCGAAAGACTCGCTGGGGCGGGCAGCCCCGGGTCGTTTAGCGGCCGACGAGGCGCCAGAGATCCTGTTCCCCTGCAGAGCTACGGGGACCGGAAGGCGTTGAAACAGAGCTGTCGACGCGGGAGCACAGGCTGCCCACCAGTGAAGCGCAGGTAAAGAAAGAGCGCGCGATTGCCCTGCGCGGAGAGGGGTCGGGGAAGCGCCGCCCCTGTTTGGAGACTCGGCAACTGCGAGGCAGGGCATGGGGCACTCCCATGGCCTGGTTGCGCTGAGGAAGGAGTTGTGGTTCACCTGGGTAGGATTTAGGATTTGCCTGGATTGAGGTGGGCGGCGGTGTTGTTGGGGGTCGGAGGTGGGGAGGGTGGTGTTTGGGGAGGTGGCAAGGGGCGGGAGGGGATGATCGGAAGCTGTCTTGAACCCGTTGTTCATCTCCTCATCTCTTCCTGGGAAGGAATATGGGGAAGGGGGGGAGATTGTCCAATTTCTAGTCTCTCTCCCTGTCAGATCACCAAAGCCGAATCCGAACTTGAATTCTGTGCGGCTGATTGCACAGAGCTGGTAGGCGGACTGTTTCTCCGAGGAAATGTAAGGGGGTCGGGGGGAGGGGGGGCGGCAGGAGGCACTTTGGCTTCTGTTTAGAAGATGGGAGAGGGAATTTCCCGCCTGGTGACAGTGGAGGCGGTGGAGGAGAAGTATCAAGTTTTCGGATGAGGCTGCTTCCAATCCTTCGTTTTCTTCCTTTGTGGCCCAGTCTTGAGGCCCTGAGGACTGGGATCTGCGACCCCCAGTGAACAAAAGTCGGCCGTACCCCAGAGGCTAATTTTCTCGTGGCAGGCACCTGTTGAGAGGCTGCAAGTAAAATAAAGGCGAACGCTAGTTTCTGAGCTCACGTAAGAATCTGAGAAATAACAGGGGAAACGTTGACAAGGGGGTGTGATTGAGACCTGAGGCCATGAGGTTAATGGGTTATTATTACCTCCTGGGGGAGGTAATAAAGGGGAGGGGCAGGTGGTTTTTGGCATCTTGACAACTTTTCATGAATTATTTCACTGAGAACTAAACATTGTCAACTCTAATATATCTATAGCGCAAGTTGCATCAAGGACAGTAATTATTTTCATTTAATAATTTTCTATTTAATACCTTTACTATATGGTCATTTCTGTCTCTTATATTCCTAGATTTTCCTTTATAAGGATTAGTCAGATCAACATTGTGTCTCTAACAATGTCTATTAGCTTTTTCACTCTCGTTATATCTAGAGAACTTCATGGAATAAACCAGATGTGTGTGTGTGTGTGTGTGTGTGTGTGTGTGTGTGTGTGTGTGTGAAATTACTCAACATTCAAGTAGTCTTGAAAAAAAGATGGGTAGGAGTCACCTTGTATCCCTTCATCAGTCACCAGTGTTCTCTTAAAATAATGGAAGAAGCAAGAGATATTCCCACCTACAACTCAGGATTCCTGTGTCCCATGGGTTCAAATGTGTCCTTCCCCTCCAACACCACCAAATACATCTAATGAACTCCTGACTTCTTGCCCCTCTTCTACATGAAGATGGGTTCTTTACTGGGGTACTTAAGTAAAATTACATTCATTAGGGTGGGCTCTAACCCAAAATGGCTAGCGTGCATTGTGTCTATCAAAAGGGGAGATTCAAACACAGAGGTGTGCGGACAGGAAAAAAAATGTGAAGTGGCATATGGAAAAGTGGGCCATCTACAAGCCAAAGAAATATCCCTGGAAGAGATCCTTCCCTCTTACTGCTCAGAAGGAACCAACCCAGCTGACAGTTTGATTTGGACTTCCAGCCTCCAGAACTGTGAACAATTAATTTCTGCTGTTTAAGCCACCAGATCTGTGGTATATTGTCAGGATTACAGAGCAAACCAATAGGAATTCTGTTGCTAAGCAGTGGAGTGATCTGATAGCCAACACCTGAAAGAGTGAGCGGCTTTGGAACTAGGTTATGGATAGAGGCTGGAAGCATTTTGACGTGCATGACACAAGAAGCATAGAGTGCCTTTAGGAGACAGCTGGGGGAAATATGGATGCCAAATGCAATTCAAGTGAGGGTTAAGAAAATAATTATTTGATGTAAAGAAAGGATCTCTGACTTAGAGAATACATGTATCATGGTCATCAATATATTGCTAGAACTATGACTGTTAATGGTGCTTGTGGTGAGTTTTCAGATGGAAACTAGGAAGATGTTATTGGAAGCTTAAGGAAAGGTGATCCTAGTCTTACCGTGGCCAAAAATTGGGCTATATTGTGTTCTTGGGCTTTATTGTGTTTCTTGAGGAAAGAAGAAATTGTAACTGTTGAACTTGCACATGCAGTTGACTTCTATTGTTTGGGCTCAGAGCACAATGCCCCAAAATGAAGGCCCAGTAGTAGTGTCAGATGTAAAGGGCTTTCTCTGATGTTCTGGGTCCTCCTGTCTCTCAGTCCCATTCTGCCCTAGGAGCTAACTGTACAGAGCAGAATCCCTCTTCCCCAAGGAGGGTCCTAGAAACCAGAAGCCCTTTTTTCTAAAGATAGTCACAAAACCTAAAAATAATTTTCTAATTTTTCTTCCACCTTTTTTGTGTAAAAGTGGCCATAAAGAAATGACCTACCCTACCTTGTTTGACTGCAAGTCACAAGACCCCCATTACAGAGAGGGTCCTGCCCCATACCCAGGAGGGAGAAATGTGTGTTCAGAGAGACCAAGCACAGTCTAGCTAGACAGGCCCTACCAGATTGGCATTAGATCATAGCCTTTTTGTCCCATCATACTTCTACAGGGCTACCCACACTTTGTTGAACATAAGCATACAAACAATTTCCCCTGCATATTTCTGCTTTTGTTCTGAAGGCTGCCATGTATATACGTTAAATAAATTTGTATGTGTTTTCTCCTGCTAATCTGCCTTTCATGAGTTGATTTCTCAGCAAACCTTCACACAGTTTGGTATAGCGAGCAGGGTCACCAAAGCCACTCCACTCTTCTGGAACCTCCAGTTAAGGGAATGCAGGAACCTGACAAGCTGGCAAAACGGTAAGAATTTCTTACCAATCAGACTCTCAGTTTCTCTCTCTGTACAACCCAGTCAGGCAAATGGTACAAAACAAATCTCTCTGTTTGTCTCCTCTACAAGGTATTATGCCTGGCAGAAAAAAGACTTTTGTGTGTCTAATCTGGCTGTAGAAACTCTGTTACACCTTATACTACTTTGTGGTGTGAATATTCATATTTTCGGATCCCTTTCCTGCCAGAAGCAGTGTATTCCTTCATCTTTGTATTTCTGTGTTGTTCATAGAGGGTTATAGGATAAAGTTCCCTCTCGTCTTGATCTGTGTTCTTGAGAGCTTTATTTGTGAACAAGAGGAAGCACTCCCTCTTGCTCTCCACCATCCATGACAAGTGATTTTTGGGTCACAGCGGTAGGCGTCTGGTCTAACAAATCTCTTCGCTGGGAAGAGAAGAGATCTTATTTTGTTTAGAATATGCCAAGCTCTTGGCAGAGTTTGTCATTAGAAGTCCCATCCTTAAGGGGCTTTTGTCATCTCAAACTTTATTGGCTAGGGCAAGGATCACCAATCCATAATCCAGGGACCGGCACAGGTCCGTGGCCTGTTAGGAATCGGGCCGTACAGCAGGAGGTGTTCGTCAGTGAGCAACAGAAGCTTCATCTATATTTAGAGCCACTCCCCATTACTGGCATTACCGTCTGAGCTCCACCTCCTGTTAGGTCAGCAGCATTAGAGTGTCATAGGAGAGAGAACTCTATGGTGAACTGCACATGCAAGGGATCTTCAGTTGCACACTCATGGAAATCTAATTCCTGATGACATGTCACCCTCTCCCATTAGTCTCAGATGGGATCGTCTAGTTGCAAGAAAACAAACTCAGGGCTTCCACTGATTCTACATTATGGTTAGTCGTATAATTATTTCAATATATATTACAATGTGAAAATAATAGAAATAAAGTACACAATTAATGTAATGTGCTTGAATCATCCCAATACCATCCTCATAATGCCAGTCCATGGAAAAATTGTCTTCCAAGAAACTGCCAGAAAGGTTGGGGACCACTGGTCTAGCTAGTGAGTGCTGGCAAACTGCAATCCTGGGAGTCATTTGTTATCTTAGCCTATGTAGGAGAACAGGAGTAGTCTTTGGGATTACTTCTTCTTTGAGAAGGCTATTGCATCCAGTTGCTATTGAAGTTTAGTACACTGTTGAGAATTCTAATTGTCAATGGCCAAAAGATCGATCCTTTAAATTAGCCTCCTAAATTTTGTTAAAAGAATTTTAGAGATTTCTTATTCTAACCAATTGATAGAAAAGTTAAATGTGTAAAAAGACACATAATAGTGTAACAGCTAGCCTTAAAACTCTTCTTGGCAAAATAACCAAAAATCTGACCTGAACAAAGTTAAATTCCTATATCTGCTCAAACTGCCCCTGTGGGAATAACAACAAAGGCCACTCCACCTTTTGGCCTTTAAGTTCAAATTCTGTGCTTTCACCCTGACGCCATGGGTTACATTCCTTGTCAGGAAACCATTCCCTCTCGGTTTAATGTTTGTGTGACTTTTGGGGAGTACTGATTTCTTATGGACACTTATCCCTTCCTTGAATAAGTTTTGATTTCCTGTCTTCTTCCATTTGCGGTGGGAGCTCATGAGGCCCTTTGGCCATTTTTTTGAAAATGTAAATCTCAAAGATTGTTAATGGCATGTGTGAATATTTGGTATCCCTTACGTTACCTAAAATGCCTAGAAAAGAAAAGATGCTACTGACCTCAAACAAAAGCCCAACACCACGTTTGAAGATGAAATGCTATTGTCATTCCTATAAGGGCCAGGAAGGTGACAAAAAAGCTTTCTATCAGTGGTATGATTTCAAAGTCTTTATGAATATTTGGCATTGGACTTTTAAAACGGCTTAATCACTGAAAAGGGGGCTAAGTGTTTTCAACTGATCTGATTGTCTTGCAAATGATTACATAACTAGAACAGTTTTTCTCAGGACAACTTTACACTTCTAAAAACTAGGAGGAACCCTAAAATCTTTTCTGTAATTTACATATGCCAATACTCACTTCAAAATTATTAGAACAGAAATTTTGATTAATTTATTTTAAAATCCAATTTAAAGTAATACTTAAAAACCCATCACATAATGTTAACATAAATTACAAACGCATATGAAAAATATTTTTTCTAAAGCAATAGAGTGGTGATCGACTTTGTTTTAGATCATTGAAAATCCCCTAAACCTCTTACCTAGGAAAAGTCAGCTGGATTCGCTCCTGGACATGATCTGT